CATACAGAAAATAGCCAGAAGGCTGACAGCATTTAAGCAAGCCCTATTTAGGATCATAATAATTGTGAATGGTCTCATTATATCAGTTAAAGAAAGATTATCAGAGGTGGTAAAAAGAGTAAGACATAATGCTCTTTACATAATAAATAACTTTAAATATGAAAACATAAGTAGATTAAAAACAAAAGGATGCAAAAAATAAACTAAAAGTCAGAGTATTACTAATATCAGATAAAGTAAACTTCAAATTTGAGTATTGATTTTTAAATTCTATTATGAAAGAACACAATTAAAACTCTATTATGTTTGTTCTGTAATAGATTGCTTCTGTAATAGAAGAATATATTAAGTATGAGAAGCAGCAATGGTTACTCTACTTAAATCTTCAAACATACAGACTGCCTTAAGTCATTGACAAAGATTCTTTCCAAGAGTATGAAGCACTGTTGTTGTTCACATTTCCTAGATAATCAAAATAAATCAGAATGGATAAGCATCTTGCTTCAGAGCAGATAACCAATAAGGACTACGCAGCAGGATCACCATCTGCAAACTTTTATTATACTTTCTGTGAGCATAATGCCACTCTCCACCTATGGGATGACATAAAAACCAGTCCTCTGTCCATGCCACACACTCTTTTTGTACAAGTGAATATTGCTTCAGTTCTTTTAAATGCTTTGATTTTGTCTGTCTTTTTCAAGATGGTGAGAATTTCATCCACATGGTGCCCAAGCAAGAGTCACTGTCCTAATAAGGTCAGGGCTCTGAAGAAGGTTAGAAGCCCTGAATATCCAGGGTGTTGGCCAGGTTGTGGAAGGGGAGGCAGAGGAGCAACCATCCAGCAACTTGCCTAGGAAGTCACAGCCTTTACTTTCAAAAAAGCACGAGACACCAGAGCTCCAAACATCAACTGTGTCACTTTTTCCTCTTTCTTGCCTTTAAGTTCTCAACTGACAGAACTCATACAAAAAGAAAACCTGCATCCCTATGAGGGGTAGCAGTCAAAGGAGACCCCTTAGAAAGGTGCATTCTAATAGTTCACTTACAAGTTGATTGTAGTAGATAATATACATATTTTGCTAAAGAAACCACATGGGTGTAGGTAAATGGCCCGTGGAAACTGCAATATCTAAAATGTAGTATTAATGATGAGCTCCATGACTTTGTAGAAAGGTGTTTCTATTAAAAGTTGCTTTCAGAGCTTCTGTGTTTTCACCAGGTGCCCATTGCCCAGAGCAACGTAGTCTCCCAGCATCTTGGACATATGACTTACTAATTCCCAGTGTCTCTTTCTACAGGATGGCCACAGCAGCACTGGCCTGGAGGAGAGAACACATTCCAGGATCAAGCATCATCCAAAGTTTAGCCTGCAGGGGCAGCATCTCATATTCATTTCTGCTTCTCATCTTCTGCATAGCAGATCATCTTTTCTCAGTTTTCCACATACAGGACACAGGTGTGTAGATGTGCACGTGCCTTCTCCTTCTGTATGAATTTGTAAACTTAAACCATTCAATAAATCTTGTTGATGGAAGGTTTTCCTATAGTACACAGTTTTGAGTTTGCTCCACGTAAAAGAAGAATATTTTCCCCCTGGTAATTAATATTTTGACAGCCAAAATCTCGAGATTCTGAAGGTTGTTAGTGACACATTGCTAGGTTAAACTCGAGATTGGGGAAAATAAAGTGGAAAGCTAAATCAATACATCTTACTTTTTCAAAAGTTCATCTGGGGTGAACATTTTTCATTCACAGTACATTATAGAACCTTTACAATTCAAACAGCAGCCAGGAAGCCAAGCAAAACAAAAAGTCAAAACTATACAGTATAAAAATGTAAATGTTTAGGAAGTAAAAAGCAATTTCATTTTAAGCTTAGGCATGGTCAAAAGGACGAATTATTTCTGTTTGCAAAGAGGATATTTCAGCATTTGTTACCTTCACAACATTTAGGCTGCCCCCAAGTGTTCCAAGAGTGGTATCAGTGGTTGTCTGAACTGTGTACCAGAATCTCTTTTCTATCTCTCCACTTGAAATAAAGTATGGGTTTTTCAATCGATATGAGAAAGCACACTGGACTTGTTGACAGAACTTCGGCGATCATTTAGCTCTGTACATATTTTTCTGTGGATTTTAAAATCTAATTATTTGCTTTATTTAATTTCCTTTTGCTCCTGAGTTTTTTTCATAGGAAGTGGAAATAATATCTGTCATAATTAGCTCACAGGCATGTGATGATTAAATTATTTCACATACAGGATAATACTTGATAAAATATAAAACGATATACACACACTAGTTATCCATGTAAGTGAAATCAACTTTCCTCCTGTAACAGCAAACTACTCTACTATGCTGGGACACATTGGAGCACAGAGCTATGATTATTCTTCTAATATTTAGCTGAATGATCTTAGCACATTATGCTTTTCTTAAAATAGATGCATCAAGAACCTCTACCAAACTTGTAGACCTTAAAAAAAGAACCCAAGCCCCCACAATTCCCCTTTATATTTCTTTTTCTTTGAACTAGACTTCTAGTGAAAAATACATGCACACCAAGTCTACCAAGACACTAACAAGCAAACATTCAATCTTTCCACAGACCTGTTTCCTTTTCCAAAGACCTCACCTAGCTTTTAACAACCAATGTTTTTAAGAAATCTGCAACATAATCCACATAATTTATTGCACATTTGAAAAATAAAAACATTCATAATAACAACTGGGAGAATCTTCAATATTTTCATTTAAAAAGAAAGGGTCAGAGATTTAGCTCAAGGTTTCCTGCCTTGCAAGTGCAAGGTCCTGAGTTTCGATTCTCTGTGCAAAACTAAACAAAACAAAACAACAAAAACAAAAAAGCAAACCATTATACATCATATTAAAATTTGAAATCAATATTCATAGAACATTGTTTAAAATCTCAATTCTCTTTGTTTAATTGAAAATATTAAGAAAATAAAAAAGCTAACAGCAAAAGGTATTCTATAACTCACTGTAGTACCACATCATTTTGTTTTCTCTGTTCAATTATTGACTAGACTGTCTAAATTATTTTATATTTTTAAAAGAGAAATAGTGATATATATTCACTAATTTTAGTGTAGATACTGGCAAGTTTTAAATCTGGACGACTGAGGTCTTGCCCCATAAAATTTTGGCATTTCTTGATTATTGCTATCTTCTTGTAAAACTATTCATTCATCAATTTTTTTAAAATTCAAAGTTTTGTGGACTGCTTGTGTTACTAATACATGATTTATAGATGTCAGTTGAAATTCAAACCTATGGTATTCAACTAAATCTTACAGAGAGGGAATTATGGGTATTTTTTGTACTCAGTGAAATGGAAGATACAATGAGCTTATCTGTTGCAGTTGATCCATATGAATAAGAATAGGAATAAAATTAACCATTACACTGATTTGCAGACATGTTTCTCAGTGCATACACAGTCATATTGCAAATTTAAAATTTTTAATATAGAGAGATGGCATTGCATTTAGTTTGTTCTTTATATGGTCATTTTATAGTGGTGTAATCGAAATAATTTAAGAAGCTATTATCACAACGTGATTCTAATATTTTAGTGTCCTGATGTTTGAATACGAATAGATAATAATGGTTCAGTGACAGCTTCCATTGGTCTGTAAAACTGGATGTAAACTGAGCCATCTGTTCTCAAAAGTGCCTCTACTGGAATGCAGGGACCACTGACTTCACCTTCTGTACCTTAATGGCCACTGGCAGCACGCAGTAGAATAGACGGAGATAGAAAGTGAGTGTCTAATTTACTTGACTTTCAAAACGCCTTACACTCATACCTGAAAAACAGTAGCTTTTTTTTTTTTTAAGTTTTGAAAAATCTCGCTGTGATTCTTAAGTTTTGTTCTTCATGCATTAGGTCAGAATGGAAAGACTGGGAGGTCTTTTGACTGTGTTTGGCATGGAGTCCTTAGATACCTTTCACTAATGAGCTGCTTCAGGCAACGCACAGAAAACAGTCTTTTAGGAGCTTTGCTGCCTGCTGAGGGCTGCTTCAGGAGGAGATGGCTGTGGAACTGGGAAAGGCTGTTTCATCCCAGAACATGAATATGTCAGTCTCTAGATGGCAGGCTGTGAAGCTTCGAAATGCAGTCGCTAACCTCCTCCACCACCCTCACCTTTACACCCACCCCCACCTCGGAACCTTGGCAACACAGTATGGGCTACACGTGTGCCCTAGCCTAGGGACTCTGCGTCTTGTGGCTTTTTAAAAAACCTGAGTTTAAAATGTTTATTCCAGAGCATGATATTCTAGCTGGGAAGCTATCTGGATGCCAGAGAAAAAAGGAAGTCCGAGGTGACAGCTGGAAGGACCCCGGCTACCGGCCAAGGGGAGATGGGACTGTTTCCAAGGCCAAAGCAGTGTTCAACTGCCTGCAACAGTATCCTCTGCTCCTTCGGAAAAGAACTCTCCGCGCTGTGGCCAGCGCTCAGCGCGCAAAGCCTCCGGCTCAACCCGGAGAGCAAAACCAGCGCCACGGCCCAGATTTACCTCGGAAATTTATGGGCGGGCGAGGCGGGGGAGAAAACTCGGGTCCTGGGATTCTCAGACTCTGCCTGAAGAGGAGCAGAACAGCGAGAAGGGGAGAGAATCGCGAGACGCTAAGCAGGCAAAGACTTTCTTTGCGCCCCGCAGCGTCTCAGATGGCCCCTTAACCCACCCCGCTAGGCGATCCCAGGGCCGGGGTGAAATGGGGAACCTCGGGGTCAAAGGAGTAAGTTGAGGTTCAGCCGCGCAGGGGCTGGCGAGGGTGGTACGAACGTAAGCGATGGAGGTCTCCTTCCTGGTGATGCGTAGGTGCCAGTCAAGGACTGGGGCCGGTCCCTTTCACCCCTACCGCCCCTGCTCCAACTTCCACCACCCAGCGATCCCAGATGTCCGGTCGGGTAGCCGGCCAGCCCAAGATGCTGGAGAGTGAGGATATTTTGCCTCGGTCCTGTTCGCCTACCTTGGAAACCTTTTGCTCGCAAGGCGCGAAACCTCTCCAGAGCTGCGTGCACGGAAATTCAGACTCCCGGGGACCCCGCTGGGCAGAGGCGACCTCAGCCCCGCGGGGCTCTCAAGGTGGGCTCCGGTCCGTCGCCCACCCAGTGCGGCTCGGAGGCGCAGGCCCCACCCAGCTTCGCGCCTCGCGGAGCGGCTGACAGCGAGCAGCAGGACCGACGCAGCCCGGGTCAGACTCCGCCAGGGCAGCCACCAGTCCTCCTTCCTGGGAGTCTCGAGCAAAGCCCAGCTCCCAGGGCAACTTTGTGAGCGACCCGGGGCTCAGAGAGGAGGTGGGGGGTCATTGGGTCGGGCAGCGGAGGAAGCAGTCCTACCTCGGTACCGAGAGCCGCGAGTTGCCTTCCATGGTGGGTCTGCGCGTGGAGAAGGCGGAGGGGGAGGCGG